GAGGAGATAAAATAATAACCGACATGTAACCGTTGAAGTCGAAAGGCAGATAACGGCGCGGTTTGCAAGGGGAGTGTATGAATTTCGATGATGGTTAGATGGTTGAAGTGGTTAAAGTGAATTCGTGACATTTTGCGTTATACAATGAAAGAATTGTAGCAATATATCAGAGCTACAAACAAACGGAAGTTGAAAGTAACATCAAAGTTAAGAGAAATTATTTAAAAATTTTATTTTTCCAAAGGTATGTGATACCTTGTTTAATGTTCTAAGGTTAGATCAGTCAATCAGATCAGTGTAGGTTCAAAAAAAATTATACTTTAAAACTATCATGTCCTAAAAATATTATTTAATGAGTAAAAAATAAATAACCTCTAAAAAATGAAGCTGCTACCAATTGAGTTCATGTGAAATTGATGAAGAAGTGTTATGGTCTTAACCCCAAAGGAAAGATTTCTCTCATTTCCCTTTCAACTTTTTTTACTTGAACATGTTTGAAGAGTAACTCAAATTTCAGTACACTTCGTTTGATACTACAAGGTATGAAGCTTAGCTTAAATATCCACTACTTTGAAAAGCTAATTTTTAGCTTACAAAGCACAAARCATTATGGGAGCATGAGCCTTTCATAAGGTAGCTAAACTTTTTTTGAAGAAACTCAATGTGGCAAAAATGGTTTCCTAAAGGGATAAATTTTAGCACACTTTATTTAATTTCATAAGGTATTAAACCCGGCTACAAGTATAACGGCGTAACGAAGTYTTTAAGCTTTCAAAAGTGGTCTAAGGTTTCCTTGAAGGAAACATGAAGATTCTTACTTTCATAGGCTTTCAAAAGTGGTTCACGGTTTCCTTGAAGGACCTCAATATTGCAATAATGGTTTTCAAACGAGGATCATAGGTGACTCAGAAGTATCATGGCTTATGTTATATAACAACCGAAACCTTTAAAACTGTCTGTTGCAATTGTATTTAGCTCCAACATGAAATCAAACGTATACCCAAGAGATTATGAGAAAAACTGCTGTTTAAAMAAACGACTCTGAAATATTTGGTCGGATAATAGTTAAGTCTAAAGTCTTTGCGGGCAATAACGCTTCGATTCAGGCCTTGGCGAAAAGCATCACACGTGCCAATCGCCAGTTGCCAGTCGAATCGCTCGAACGTTCATCGAAAATTGGACTTAAGGGATGGACCATCTGAGACGTAGCCAACAAAGTTAACGTTAATTTTTGTTTTTCTTGAATTGCTACCACCAAATGAAGCTAATAGTCAACCAAACTGTTTCTTAGAAACCAAAATCATAAATTTGATCATTTTAATGGAAATTTCAGCAAATTAATGACGTTGCTCAAAAACACATTAACGAAAATTTAAGCAAATTAAAYAGCAATTGGCAGCTTGAAAATGCACAAAATTGTTGGAGAAAGAGAAAATGGAATTTCGAAAATTTAAAGCGCCACACAAATAAATGAGACAAAGCGGGCAGCCAGCGATGGTAGGACACTTGTTAAAATGCTAGGACTTGAGAGGAAACGTTGGGACAGTGGGTGCAGCAGATTGCAAACAAGACAGCACAACGAAGGAATGAAGAGGCTCTACTAAGTTACATAGCATAAATACATATATATGTGTGAGTGTGTTTGTGTACTTAGTTTATAGGACGACTTGACATTGTGAAAATTGTGAAAACGTAGTCGAGTGTCAAGCCAAAGTTTAATGGTCTGCTATAATTCATTTCGCTATGGCTACAATCATGGATTCAAATATACGTACATATATGCAGTGAAATGAAGTTTAAAGCCTGCGCTAACATCATGTAAGCACATACATATGCAGGGTTGGCTCGAAGGAAAACTATTTGTCTGTAGGTTGTTTGTGCTCGATGCCGTGCCTGTGGTCGTAGGTAACGATTTTGATATATGCCATACTTGCGGCTATTAAGTGGAGGTTATGTCTGACTCCTTTCTCGGTTAATTAATTCAAACCACTAACAGMGTTGCAACGAACAGAGAGAAACTTGAGTATACAAGGTGAATATCTGTGCTCACATGTCTATGTATGGGTATGTACATAGATTAAAGCATTATAAGCGCTGGCAGCTTTATATTCAGCAAATAAARCGATCAAATCATACAAATGAGCTTCAGCAACCAATAACCGTATGGGATGTGAGGAGCAARACGTGGWCGCTGCTTATCTAACAACCTTTCAWCTATGAAAAATGATGAGAATAAAAATGAGCATGAAACGTGCTTAAACACAAAACGATAAACGAGCAGGAAACAATAAAAAATCAATGAGCTAGAAATTCATGAAGAAAGAAATGAAAATAGCAATGTAATTAGTGCTGTTACTAGAAAAGCTGTGATAGAGAGAAACGATAAAAAATATATGAAGATAAAGAGATGGAGAAATTATTGTTTCAAAATACAAATATTCTACTTCTTAGTAGCAGCGATTTTCATTTAACTCGACGAAGTAGTTTTTAAACAATAAAATTCAATATGCGTAGCATACATTTAGGCGAAAATATATATTAAACTCCATTTTGGTGTAATTTGTAACTTTTCCACAACTTTCTTTACAGTTACTTAACTGTTAACACACCACTGATGTATTCTGCTAACTTTTTTTACGCTGCAATTTTTTTAGTGAGTCAAGTGGTGCTTGTTTAGTGTAAGGTCGAGGCTAACTCTTTTGCATTACTAGGTAACTAAAGAGAATCAAARGTATTGTAGAAATATTCTTCTGTCAGCACACAGTTAATTGGTCACTCATTGGTCGTGGGTCATTTTCGGTTAGTCCATAGCAATATTCGGTTAAATATTTGGTTAGACAAATTATTTTCTGCGAAATTTGTTGCACTGCATCGTCGTCTGCTTTGTCAAATGCGGAGAAAATTTAAACAAAAACAAGTAAAAACAGTACTTTGGTTGCACTGGAGCAATAATACTTGTATATGAGTATAACTAAAGTTGAAAACGTGATCGGTCAACGGTCACTTTGTATAACAGCTACGGCTTGTACGACATGTACCGCTTCTACCGTTATCTTGGACAATAAATATGCCAAATTTATTTGAAGATATCTTGTGAAATAAAAAACTTTTCGTTACACAGTACAGATTTTGATAGACCAGTTTGTATGGCAGCTATATGTAATAGTAGTTCTTTTAAGAAAGTAGTTCTTTTAAGAAAATATATTCGGAGATTATAGAGTAGTTGGAAATAGTAATCTATGCCGAATTTCGTGAAGATATCTTCTCAAATAAACAAGTTTTCCATATAAGGACTTGATTTTTATAGAAGAGTTTGTATGACAGCTATATGCTATAGTAGTACGATCTGAATAATTTCCGCGGAGATTATACAGTTATGTTGTACAATAATTCATACTAAATTTCGCGTAGATATCTCTTCAAATAAAAAAGTTTGCCATACAAGGACTGGATTTTGATCAACCAGYTTGTATGGTAGCTATATGCTACAGTGTTTTGTTATCTGCGATGCCGACAAATTAGTAGTTCTTTAGTGAGAAGCGGTCATTTACAAATTTTCAGATCAATATCTCCGAAACTGCACGTACATATATACAGACATAATTGCAAGATTCATTTCCCATATGCTCATACGATTTCATACACTGCTGCATCAGTATCTTTACTTTTCCACTCATTTCACTTAATTGTGCATCGCCACAGTCCTCCATTATGACATTTCCTGCTGTCATTCATTGGTCCGAACGCCGAAGCACAGTTGTCTTCACATGAAATTCCTTTTACGTTGCTTTCCTTGCGCATCGCGTGGCTTCGTTACTTGCGCTCACGTTTGCTAGTCCATTTCTTTCATTACATACTTCACTATTGGCAACATGGCACAAGTGGCCCTTTAAGTTGTTATTTGCTACCACCCTACCACTTGCGCCGCATGCTACACAGTCTCTTTCACGCTACACACTCTCCTCTCTATCCAACACATTTTTCTAAAGCTGCAATTACCACACGCCCCTTAACCTAATTTCATAACAATTGTATTCCGCATATCTACCGCCGACGCTCGCTCTCATATACCGTTACATTTGCATCCGCGCAACCTACTACCTTGTGCCGAGTTCCCAGTCGCATGCCAAACATGGTTAATTAATTTCTTGGTATACCCAAGCGCTTTAGCGCGTCAACAGTGAATACACAAAAATGCATTTAATCTGCTCGAGACTCAGCTCGATAGTTAGAGCTTTCAGCAACACGGCGTACCCACACATCCACCACTTTCATACAAGCCAAAGCAAGAGCCGAGAATGAGTGTGATTTACTCAATAGCAGTAACGGTTACAGAGCAGGGTGCCCAAATTCTACAGTTTCGAGTGGAGAGACACTTGAAGAACTAAAGTTCGGCACGAATGGACGCCTGCCTTCTACAAATTTGGCTACATCAATTTGGCTGAAAGGAAATTCATTGCACACAAGTGCCGGCTGCACGAGTCAGCACAGGTCCACACGACATACACAACTTTATATATACATATATGTTACTGCCGGAATTTGTGGCGCAAATTGCAGCCTTAATGATTTTGGTGACGTTATGGTTACTTACGAAGTGCTTGTCGTCGGTTTCAACGACTTTGGCGCTGCTGATAAATCACAGTTTACTCAACAACGCAAATTTGTTTGCCTACTTTTCGGCGCAAGACCTTACGCAAGCCGGTATAATTGCATGAGTTGAGCCAAAAGTTGTAAAGGAAGATTTTGTTTTTTTGGGGTGGGGGGTGCGAAATTCGGAAGGACCGACAGCATATGAAAATTGCAAAAKAAGCAATAGCAAGAAATGGTTAATTAAAAGTGTCTGCAATACAACGACATGCCATTTAAAAATCTGCTTTGCGGCAGGTTTCAATGGCAACCACAACTTGGTCACCCAGAAACTCGGAAATCAAGTATAACTGGTAGGAAATAAGGGTTTGATATAATTTTTGAAACAAAAACTAAATCATTCGACTCACCGATCGCCATGGCCGTCTCCTGCGCATCGCCCGTGACCATCTTGACGCGCACGCCGCTCTGCATCAGCATCTCAATGGATTCGCGTACCAATGGACGCGGCGGATCGGTTATACCCACCAGGCCACAGTAGATGAGATCCTGCAGGCTGCGTCCTTTCGCCAGCGCCAGCACACGCAAGCCCTTGCGGCCGATTTCGTAGGCCTCCGCCAGGAATTCCGCCTCATTTTGCTTTGTCAACGGCACCGTTTGTGTGCCGAACATGTATTTCGTGCATTGCGGCAATAGCATTTCCAACGCRCCTTTGGCAAAGAAGATTTCCTCTTTGTTATTGTTGTATTTGTGTATGCACTTGACAGCCATCATTTTCTGTTCGGATGAGAATGGATACTCCTGTATGCGCACATAGTTCTCGGCGGTGGCGTACATGCCATTCTTCATGGCGACAGCGATGAGTGCGCCCTCTGTCGGCTGGCCGAGCAATGTGCCGTTCTGTATGTAAGCATTATTGCAGACAGCGCCGATTTCTAACAAGTTCGTTATGTTTGCTTTGGCCATTTCGACGTTGTTGCAATTGCGTATATGTATCTCGCCTTGATCATTATAGCCAGCGCCGGTGACATCGGCCATGTAGCCGTCAGATGTRATGATAACTGTCGCTGTCATTTCGTTCTTCGTCAAAGTGCCCGTTTTGTCCGAGCAAATGACATTCACGCAACCGAGCGTCTCCACGGTTGGCAATTTCTTCACAATCGCATTTCGTTTGGCCATGCGCATGACACCGAGTGCCAGCGTCACRGTGACCACAATGGGTAGGCCTTCGGGTATTGCGGCGACAGCCAAAGAAACGCTGATATTGAACATTTCGGTTAGCGGTTTGCCTTGTAGCCAMCCCAAMAGCATAATTACGCCAATGATGAGGAACGAATAGAAACTTAGCTGTGCGCCGAGTATGTCCATCGATTTCTGCAACGGTGTCTTCGGCGCTTCTTCAGCTTGCATCATTTTGAAWACTTCACCGAACTCACTGCGCTCACCAGTGCTCACTACAACACCCTTGCCATTGCCGCAGCGCACCAATGTGCCCATAAAGGCGACATTTTTCATATTTGTATGATCCTTATTGGTGGTGCTGCTCAGTATGAGCTCGGTGCTCTTGCGCGCCGGTTCCGTTTCGCCCGTGAAGCTTGACTCATCGATCGACAGATCGATGGCATCGAAGAGCCGCACATCGGCGGGGACACGATCGCCTACATTCAAGTACACCACATCGCCGGGCACTAGCTCACGCGCCAAAAACGTGTCGAGTCGTCCTTCGCGCAGACAATGGCACTCGGGTGGCACCAGCTTCTTCAACTCCTCCAAACTCTTCTCCGAACGGTATTCTTGTATGAAAGCGACCGTTACCACTATGATGATGGCTATCGTTATGCTCACAGCATCGTCATACTGTTTCATAATCACCGAAACTAGCGCGCTGCCCAACAGCAGCAGTATAAGTGGATTCTTAAACTGTTCAATGTATTTCTTCCATGTAGGATCCTCCTCGTTCACATTCAACTCATTGTGTCCGATAATTTTTGCACGATACTTTGCCTCGGTCCATTTGAGACCGGTACGCGTGTCGACCTGTAGACGGCCGGCCACTTCGGAGGCGCTGTACGTCGATGACTCGGACGTTGTCAGCAACATTTCGGGCGTTAGGGTTGAACCCGTCTGGAAAGAGTGAAGAGACAAAAGCGACTTTAGTATTGTTAAGTTTTTTTTTTTTTGTTTTTTGTTTTCGAGAAACATAAGTTTAGAAATAAAAGCATAAATGTTCAAAAGCCGAGCTTTTCATAGCTTAGCTGACTGAAAATTATGAGTATTATTATGTAGAACCTCCAAATGTGATCTRGTGACTGAAGCTCAGCSCATACTGAAATTATGATGGGAACACTTTTCCAGCCTGCTGAATGGCAATGAAAGCTTAACGCCAGGACATGATGAATCCGATGGAGCATACGTTCCATTGAAGAAGGAGTTGGCTAYATTTGGAATTTATAATTGGCGCCAAAGAGCGAAAARGAATAACGACTGGCGGGCTGTTGTAAACTCGGCCATAACCGCGTAGGCGGTGTCTACGCCAATAAAGCAGAAGAAGAAGTAGTAATAACAGCTGAGAGTTTGGAATTTCATATACGCATGAAGAACAAAAATAGTATAATCAGAAACACGAACATTAAGACTAGTAAAATAATAATGAATAATGCATTATTTCCTKAAATAACCCATACTTTGCATATTTATAGAATATTTTGCCAATTTTCCCTCRCTATCAGCTAAATAATCTAGAGACCTTTCACCCATTTTTCCAATTACTCGCTTCCACTTGCAAGTAACCTCAATCACCTTTTGTTAGCGCTCGTAATCTCCTCAACCAAACTTATTGATTTAATCTGCTACAAGCAACAAAAACAACACGCCCAAAGCAACAACAACTCATGCAAAGCAACTGCGGAACCCAATATGCTGGGCGACTCATCTAACATGTCGAATCAGAGGAGAATCTCTTAGAAATATTAAAAACTTGCACATGTGTATGTATGTATTTCGCTGAATTTCAATATTCATTGCATCCCATGAAATGTTATATTGCAAATTTGTTGTGAGTATGTATGTTTGTATGTAWAGGTATGTTGTTAAGCAATTTCCAGTCACGTTTCTCTACAATGACATCAACAACTGTCGAACCGTTGTAGCTTATCAGTGYTGGCTCGTACCAACTAAATTTTGATGAGACTGATGAGGCCGGGTGGACGGACAAATCACATATGTGCATATGTAAAGGTATATGTATACGAATGAGTAGATTTAAATAACACATTTTATTTTGTCTCTACAAGTACACGCGCTTAAATCTAAAGGTAAGCGCATGGAGATCTAATAAATATACGCGCATATATATTTATATATTCCAAATAAAATTTGATATTTAAATCTACTCATTCGTTCAATATAAATGTGAGTATGTTCGTTTGCCAAACGAACTAATCGAACTGATATGCATATGTTGCCAGCATCACTTACAAATGAACGTCAAGTGCAACTGACAAATGATTGTAACCGTGTGTCGTCCCCGTTGCCCACCAGCTGGCATATCAGTCAGTCACCGACTGCCATTAGCTGCTGGCTGCAGATCTGAGATAGCCGGGTGGGTGGCCAACTGGGTGKGTTGTCAGGTTGACTCGTTGTCGGGATGGACATGACAGCTGCATGTCAACGCGGCGGTGAGATGTATTGTACAAGTTAAAATCACGAAGGCAATGGTGAGCGGGGAGATGATGTTGCTGCTAATAATGATGTTGGMAAATTAGCTAGCGAAGACAAGAATAGATAGAATACACATATATTAGTTTGTCAAAAAAGTCTTGCGGTATTTTTATTGATGACTCATGTCCAGCTCTTAACCGATGCTACGGCTGCTACTATGCTGGTCTCTTTCGACCAATTCAGCGACTTTAACGCAATTTTCGGCGACAAGCCTTCCGGAGCGTGGCGCATCTTCGACCACCTCTACACCAGAACGAAAACTTTGAAACCATCGTTGTGCGGTGAAAATGGAAACTGTATCGGGTCCATAAACTGCACAAATTTGATTGGCGGCTTGAGATGCATTTTTGCCTTTATCGTAGTAGTACCGTAAAATATGCCGTATTTTCTCYTTATTTTGCTCCATGTTTGCGACGCTATAACTCACGCACGATTTAAAAGAAACGACAATCAATCAAACACGCATTAGCGCGTGAAACGAGCTTTCCAACAAGGTATAGCATGACCCGACGCGACGAATAAAAGTTGAACTACGCGCTCTCAGCGCCAACTAGCGAAAATACCGCAAGACTTTTTTGACAAACTAAYATATTTTAYATTTCCACGGTGTGTGGGTGCATACTTCTTTGCAATGCTTTATGTATCGTTTGGAGAAGCTTTGAGTGAAAGCGAACCACTTGGAAACGTCATATGAAAGAGAATGATAGCTAATGTCTGATGATTTTAAATTAGAGTGGTCCTAAAAAATTTAAAGAAAAAAAATTTAAATAAAAAATTAAAATTAAAAAAGTCAGATAGTCAATAATCCGTGTAAAGTCGTGAGAATATCTCAACAAATAAAAAAGTTTTCCATACAAGAACTTGATTCTGATCGTTCAGTTTGTATATAGATATATGYTGTAGTGGTCCGATTTGAACATTCTCCTTGGAGTTTGTAGCACTGCCTTTGAAAATAATCCGTATTAAATTTCGTGAAGGTATATTTTCGAATAAAAAAATTTTCCATACAAGAACTTGATTTTGATCGTTCAGTTTGTATGTYAGCTATATRTTAAAGTGGTCTGATAATGACGGTTCCAACAAATAAGCAGCTTATTGGGGCAAAAAACATTCCGATCGATGTCTCATAAATTTAGTGACTGGTTCGCTTATTATGGTCATTTAAGAACCACCCTTCCTTGGTCATTTAAATATGCTTTATTACCTGCCACAGCAGCATGCAGCATGYAACTTGTGGTGTGCTCTACCATCTGTGTTCGTTTTACTAATTAAGTTTTAGCTAGTTAAGCGGTAAATWGGAAAAGGTGGCAGCATAAAAAATACCGTATGTGGTGGCATAAGCAGATAAAGGGCTTAGTTACTATATACGTATGCAATGAAAAAGCAGAGAAGACCGCTTCAAGCTGCTGCAATTTTGTTTCAATAGAGAATTCAAGATTCTCGCAACTTTAAAAACAATATAATTRTCAGCCATAAATATATTTCCAACGAATTTTGCATTAAATGTATAATTACAAAGGGAATCCCCCACTTGGCAACAACAATAAATCATTAATAAAATATCCGTATCTTTTGCATTCAAGTGAGTATTTTCGTAGAAAATGGCTTCCTATTACACCCGTTTCTAGCTAAATGGCCACCGCTGTCGCAAGTGTATGGCTGCTACACGTGTTGCATGTTTAATTATCACGCTGCTGACATAGAAAATTTGCATATTTGTGCTGCAAGCGCTGTTTAATTAATTACAAAGTAGTGATTAATTTATTGGCGAGAGCTAAATGAGAGGAGAGAGTCTCATTACTAGTGAACATAGAAAAATTCGTAAAAAACAAAAAGCAAATATGCAACAACTTTGTAGCATATATGGAATACAGTAATATGGATGGTAATTGGGTTATAAAAATTCCAACAAAATGTAGTTCATACTCATTTACATATTCGCTGAAATGAATGTAACAAGGTACAAGGTATTTATCTAAAAGTAGGCCCTATTGCAAAACTGGTTACCTGTAAGTCGGTAATAATCAAACCATGTAGTATTTTTCCTATAATAATACTGCAAATTTTCTGATAAAATAAAAACCGGAAAGCAAAATCATAAAACCAAAAAAAAAAAACAAATCACAAATCACTATCAAATCAGGTTTTTCAAGAACGTGATTTACAAGATCACAAACTAAGTTCTAAGCCGTGCTAATGCTAGTTGTATGCACGTATGTATACAGTGACAGTTGTAAGATTTCTGCTGATATGTAAATGTATGTGTGTAAAAGTAATTGCGGATTAACAGCAGCTGATCATTGACGTGTAAAATTTCCAGCTAAAATTGCATAAGAAAATAGCAACACGARCGGTAGCTATTTGGTTGCACGTACGTGCATGTATGTGTGCATGAATGCATGATTAGTGATAAGCTTGAATGGAAATCGCAGCAATACAAAATAGGTATGCAAATTCTGATAGCTACTAGCGTTTAAATGACTGSCATTTGATATAACTTTTAGTCGGATTTTATACGATACATGTGGGCWATATGTATGTATGCAGATRTACATATATGCAACATTTTAATTTCGCAAGTGGTATTATTTAAGACATCGCTACAATCACTAAAGAAATTGTGCTTATCGAACAACTAYMGCAAATAGCTGTCATACAAATTGMCCGATCAAACTYATGTCCTTATATGGAAACCTTTTTTGTTTTATAAGATAATTTCACGAAATTTGGCATGTATGATTATTTAAGACATCGCTCCAATTTCTGAAGAAATCGTTCCGATCACMCAACTATAGCATATAGCTGCCATAACAATTGACCGATCAAACKCATGTCCTTATTTGGAAATTTTTTTTATTTCATAAGATATCTTCCCGAAATTCCRCACAAATTAATATATAAGATACCGCTAYAATCTTCRAAAAAATTATTCTAATCGGAGTTCTATACCATATAGCTGCCATGCAAACTGGCCTATCAAACTAAAGTCCTTATATCGAAAACATGTTTACTTGACCAGATATATTCGCAAAAATTGGCTCAGCTTATTATCTCTTTGATCGCCACAATATAGTTCATCAAAATGAAGATAAATAACTGCATACGCCATAAAAAATTCATCTGTAAAGGGTATTGTAGTCAAAGTTGACGACTTCTTCTTTTTTTTCTTGCCATTTTCTCTGCTCTGTACCTCTTTTACTAAATACATTCAAAAAAATAAAAATAATTTATAAACATAAAATACGGCAATTTTCGAAGAAATGTCTACTCAGGCTTACTTTTCAGTCATAAATCTTTCCCACCACAATACTTTTACGACAAACATTTAAGCACTTAGCACTACTTAGCGTCGCAAAGAAAATATACATTTATGATCTACATATGTTTCCGCATATTACTTAAGA